CCTGCCTTCTGGGTACCCCTGACACCCCGGCTGCCCTCCTGGTCACAGAAGAAGCTGAGCAGAGCTCTGACACCAAGCAGAGCTGCCTTAAGGAGAGACTGCCTCTTAAGCCACAAGATCTGGACCAAGAGGCAGAGCTCTGGAAAGGCCCTTCAGCATTTAACTCACCCCTTCCCATTCTACACACGAGGAAAGTGAGGCCCAGAGTGGACACTGACATGACTTAAGTCACACAGTGAGGGCTCCTGATTCTCAGGCCAACTGCTGATTTCCCAGGAATCCTCTGGCCTCCAGCCCTTTGGCACCAGCTGCCCTGGGCCTTAGGGGCTTTGTGGGCATGCCTGCCACAAATGCCTGTGGCCTCTGCCCGCTCCTGGCTTCCAGAGAGCCTGCAGCCAACTCCCCAGTACCCTCCCAGCCCAAGATTCCCAAACACACTTGGGAGGAGGTACTTGGGCATAGAGATGTTCTTGGGACAAGAGCGAGCCTGGAAAGAGGTTTCGCCTAAGTGGGGCAACACTGACTTCTGTCCACTGTCTTCCCCTGGGGCCCAGCCTAGCTGTGTGTGTGAGGGGAGAGGGTTCAGGACCACAGACCCAAATGGACACTGCCATCCAAAACACCAGTTTTCAGGGATGGGTTTGTGTCCCTGGCAACAGAGGAGGCAAGTCTGGGGTCAAATTCCTCCTAGCAGGGGCCCTTGATCCCAAATGCCTTCATTTACTCATCTATGAAATAGATGCAGCCTCTCACTCCCCAGAGGCTGAACATCTCAAGAAACAGGAGGGTTGGATGATTCATCTGGGGGCCCGGAGCAAGGCAAGCTGGGCTTGATTCTCAGCTCTGTTACTTTCTAGCTGCAATACCTCTTGCGTCTTAGTTTCCCCATGTGTAAATGGGCGTGATAATAAAACTATTGCTTCCTGGGAGTGCTGTGAAGACTGTATGAGATAATCCATGCAGAGTACCAGCAGTGCTCAGTTAAATGCTAGTAACGATTGATAGTACTCAGGATCACAGAGAGACACATGGCTGCTTGAGCCTCCTCCAGGGGGTGGGGCGTGGGGGACCTTGTCTCTGTCCAATCCATGGCTCAGGTCCCCACTGATGATGGGGAAACTGCAGGCAGAAGGTTAAGGCACTGGCCCAGCGTCACGCCTGGGGGCAATGCCAGGAAGTGGGGAAAAGGGGTCAAAGATGGGGAAGGTCAAGCTAAAGGAGGGAGTGTGGAAAGGGGTCCTGAGAACAGGTACTGCCCCTACATGCCTCCCCCAGGGGCCCCGACATTAGGAAGCTGTTTTCTGAGCATCTAGGCCCTGCACTGGAGGTTCTACGTCTGTTACGTTATTTCTCACAACAGCCCTAAGAGGCATTACTGTTCCCATTTTGCAGATGGGGAAGCTGAGGTTCAGAAGTGGGAAGTGATCTGCTCAGGGTCACACAGTGAATCCGTGGCAGAGGAGGGATGAGAGAACTCCAGTTGCCTAACTTGTAAGTCAGGGTTCTCAGGGCCGGCCCAGCCCGTCCCAGAGCTTCTGCTCCCCTACACTCCCCCACCCTTGTATTCTCTCCTACCTTGAGGCTGACTCTGCTGGTGCTGCCCTGGCCCTGGGCCAGGTCAGGGCAGCTCTGGCCACCCCAGGGCCTGGGAAGGAAGCACAGGGAAAGGAATGAAGTAGTCTCCTCCTCTCCCACCCCCAGACTGGACCTGGTGGCTCTCCCCCCTCTTCTCTCAGGGCCCACACAGGCAGGATGAGCACCTGAAATCTTGGGGGGTGGGGGGGCCGGGCAGGGGAGGTCTATGCAGCAGCCTCTTCTCTGCTCCCTCCCCCAGTTGTCCACTCCACCTCCAGAGACAGAGAGACAGGGATGGGATGGGCCTGGGACCAAAATGGGGACTAGGCCTGTATCAGGGCCAGAATACAGAAAAAGGACAGTACCCTAATAATTCAAAAGCTTGCCATTTGCTGAGGCCCACCCTATGCCAGGTTTAGCACTAGGTACCAGGCCTACATAATCTCCTTTAAGCCTCACAAATAATCCTAAAAGGTAGATATTATTGTCCTCATTTTTCAGGTAAGGAACTGAGGTCCAGAGTGGTAAAGTGACTTGCCTGGAGTCACACAGCTAGTGAGCCTTGGAGTTAAGACACTAGGATGGTATCACTCCAAAGGTTGGTTGGGCATCACCACGCTAATGGGGGCAAGATGAGGAAGTGCCTTGGCTGCCCTCTCCGTACACTCTGCCCCCCACCCAGGCAATCAGCAGGGAGCGGAGGCCTGTGCCTCAGGGCCAGAGTCCCATTCCCACAGCCAGTGAGAACCAAGTCCAAGTGCACACATGGGATGTATCATCACGCTGGCCCAGGAGCATGTGAAGTCCCTACCCTGCCCTTCCTGTCCCTGACTCACCCGCAGCCCTGCCTCCTCTCAAGTGGGGAAAGAAAGGGAGGAGCAGTTCCATCTGGGCCTATAGGGCAGGTTCCTGCCAGACAGGGTAAAGGGAGGGGATGTGACTTCCAGAGAGGGCACTGGCAGGGTGTGGGCACCCCCGGCGGCCACCCAGGCTTCCAGGTATAGGGTGGCTAGGCCCTCCCCTCCCTTCTCTCTTTGGTGTGAGAGAGCAGCACAAACTCCTCCCCTCACTCTGGCCCCACCACGACCGCCTCCACTCCTCCCAGGGTAGGCTGGAGACAGCCCTGTCATGATAAGATCAGAACAAAGTGCCCAGTCACTGCACAGAGACACAAACACCCCGTGCCTGAGAGCACACGCCATGTTCTTTGCAGATACAGGGCCTGTGAGCTACTGGGGTCCTCTTCGCTATGCCCGTCCCAGCCATTCAGCCTGGCCACCCACAGAGCCTTTTCCCTTTCTCTCAGACATCAGGTAAGAGTGAACCAGCTGGGAGAAATGTAGCAATTTGTTCAGGGTCACGTGGCCAGTGGCATCTAGGGTTAGGACAGAGCTCCGGCCCCCTGGCTTGCAGTCCCGAAATCTCTCCAGAAACAGAGCAGCCCAGTGCTTCAGGACGCGGGCCCTGGAGTCAGACTGCTTAAGCCTGTGTCCCAGCCCCACCACTTCCCAGCTGTGTGACTGGGGCGGTGACTTCACCTCTCTGGACCTCCATTTCCTTATCTGACTCACACAAAATACCCACCTTGTCTGGCTGCTGTGAGGATTAAATGAGATAATCCAGGTACAGCACCAAGCAAGTGACAAATAAAAGTTTAATGTTATTACAATCTGAGATGACAGGGGGAAACCTCTCCATGGCATTTAAGGGCGAATGCAGTGCAGTCTAAGCCAACTCAGGAACCTGTCATACTCATGACAAAGGGATGTGAAGACCAGAGCTGAACTGTCCTGTGATGAGAGAATCAAAGTCCACAGGGGCAGGAGGACTGCCTATCCCCATATTTGCCTTTCAATTATCTCTGGAGAGAAAAATCAGGAGATCCCTGGCATGCCACCTGCCAGACTTAGGAAATTGCAAATTTGTTGTAAAGTTTTATAAAAGCACAGGAACTTTATAATATAAAGTCCACATAACCAAAATCGTGGTACACCGACAGGTATATTTTTATGCTCCCAGACACTCATACAGGCTTATTTGAACATCAGGTACACTCCAAGACGCACACCCACACCTTTGGGCCCAGGGGCGCCCCAAGCGGCCCTCCTCCAAACCCCTCACCTATCCCGGGATCTGGCCTCCTCCGGGATCGGCTTCCCCTTGCACTCCCTCCGGACCCCTAGCCCGGCCAGGCGGCGAGCCAGGCGGGCCCCTAGGACCCCGCGCCGCTCGGCCATGGCAAGGGCAAGGTTCCAGGCTCGGGGCGTCAGGACACCTGACCGGTGCCGGGCCGCGGGGACCTCCCGGATCCAGCTCATTTGCAGAGAAACGCCTCCTCCGGCCCGCCCCGCTGAGCAAACAACGCCCGGCCCGCAGTGCGGGCGCGGGGTGAGGACCGATCCAGATGCTGCCCAAGCCCCAAGGCAGGGGGTGCGCTCTGCAGGGGTCGTCCCCACCCGGGCCACCCCCACCCCCGGCTTCCCCCACCCCACCCCCGCCCCGCTCCAGCTCTCGGCCCTGTCTGCGCTACTTCTTTAGGCCCCCGGAAGCGCCAAGGGCCCACCGGGTCCCGGTGCTGGAAGCCTTCAAGCTGGGCCTGCACAAAGTAGGGCGGAGAGGAGGGTCCTGGGGCTAGAAGGGGCCAGGAGGCTGGACTGAGCCAAGCGTCTTTCCCGCCCCCCCGGAGAAGGAGGGGCTAGAACGCAGGGGCGGAGCCAGGAGCGGGAATGGGCGTGATTGGGGGGGGCTAGCCTGATTGGTTGGCATATTGGGCGGAGCCAAAAGGGCGACAGGGTGGGCTTGGAACCTAGACCTCGATACTGGTGGGGACCGACGCCGACCCTGCCCTTACCCTGCCATGGTGGGCCCTTATGAGAGTTCTCTCTCTCGGTCCTGGAGACCCTATGACACAGCGGGAATCTCGCCTGTGGGGGAATCTTCCCCTGGTGGGGAAGCCTATCCGAAACCCACAGGGATGGGAACGGCGACCCCTGCTGGAAGTTGGCCAACTATTATGATTTACTAATACTACTACTGTTGTGACTATAACCTGGGCCTCCTGTACCCGCAAAGGGCAGTACCCTTTCCCACCTGATGCTACCTCTCTTAACTCTCGGGGGGGGGGGTACCTTGCACATTGGGGGATCCTCTGGGACTGCAGGAAGAAAGACCATCAGGAGGGTCCCAGTTCCCCAGGCTCTCTGCCAGTTCTTCCCTGCCGGCAGTCCTTGTAGGACCTCTACCCCTTCACCGAGCTTGGTGCCTCCTTAGCCATTTGTCCTCTGTGATGACTGGTCCTGACACACAGGGGGACATCTTGCTTGTGGGTCATGAGTGGACACTGATATCCTTGTGTTCCTGCCTCTCCCACAGGGAGCTCAGATCCTGGCATGTACAGAGGGAGGAGTATGCCGCACCTGACCACGGCAGGGAGTACCAGCTGAGGGAGCACGTAGGAACTGTGAGACAAGAATGTTGCGGCAAGCAGCAGACAGGCATCTGGGCAGGTGCTGAAACATCTGTTCAGAAAAGAGGGCAGTGTGTCCTGTGCTTGGCAGCACGGTCTGCACCTTGCAGCGACCTGGAAGGCTGGACTGTCCATCGGCGAGCTGAGATGGTGGGGCTGGTCCCAGATAGGTCCCAAACAGAGTGGAACTCAAACCCAGCCAGAGTAGATGGCTGCAGGCACCCACCCCACGCGGTGGGCAGCATAGTCTCTTCCTGGCTGTGTTCCCTGAACTGCCAGGTGGAGTGGGGTGTGAAGTCTAGCAAATACATGGTGACCTCCCCCTCCACTATTGAAGCTCAGGAGGCCTCAACTCATCATAGAGAAAATCCTTTAATTGCTCTGCCCCTGCCCCCTCCCCAGGGCAGTCCTGGCACCACTGCTCAGGCTGGCTGCCCTTGCTTTCCCCGGGATGCTGAGGACACCTTGACCTTGTCCACGTCCCAGTCTATCTGCCTCTCTGATGGGGCCACCACAAGATCTAGTGCCCCCTGGAGCCATCGGGCAAGGCAGGCAAGAGACGCCAGGGGCAGGTGGGTGTGAGCAAGGCTGCAGGGCCGTGGTGCGTGCAGCCGATGGTGCAGCTTCAGGTGAACGTGCTGTGTGAAGCGACTTGGGCAGACACTGCACTGGAAGGGCCGGGCCCCTGAGTGCAGGCGCAGGTGAGTCGAGGTTGCTGGAGCTGCTGAAGCGTTTGTGACACATCTGATGGGAATGGGCACTGGCGTCAGCTCTGCCCACCTGGTTGACCCAGGATCTCTGCTCCCCCTCCCCATCTTGAAAATACCCCCCTACCACCTCCCTGTAATGCAAGCCTGGAAGCTTTCCCCCCATGATTCCTCCCTGGGACCCACAGTGTCTGGCAGATTGTAGCCAGTCAGACTGGGTTGGTATCTTGGTTCTTTTACTCCCTGCGTGACCTTGTATAGGTGACTTCCCCTCTCTGATCCTTGCTCTCCTTATTGGTAACATGAGAGTATTAATACCTAACCTCATAGGTATGGTGGACTGAATGAGATAATCACATAGAACCCTTATGCGTGGGGCTGCAGCTTCAGTGGGCGTAATTAACATTTACTGGGAGCTGCTACATGCCAGGAACTGGTCTCGTGTACTAGTCTTCTCCAGGACTCTGGAGAAGCAGGACTAAGTATTACTCCTATATTACAGTGAAAACGCAGAGGCTCAGAGAAGTGAAGCCACTAGCCAAAGCTCACACAGCAAGTTGGAGGCAGAGCTAGGATTTGAACCCAGGTAGCCCGGACTATAACCACTATGCTGCTTTTATTTCTGCCTCTTTAAAACAGGGAAAGAGTCTGGGCCCTTCTGACCTCCCAAGGGACATGGTGAGGCTCAAAGAGGGAGGGAGCTAACATTGAGCTGATGTTATAAGTAGTGTTTATATACTTTGCACACACTATAGCATTAACTCTTCCAACTATGCTGGGAAGTAGGCAATGGGTATCCCCAGGACTCCTAACTTCATTCTTCTCCCCCCACAGACATACATCTCTTTTCTCCCCTCCAGGCCCAGGGGGTGACCTCCAATATCACGTCCTGGCCCTTCCCTTCCACCTCCCTCTTTCCCCCAACCCTTGCCTCCTGTCCTGTCTCCACTTGCTCAGGATGGTTGGGGAATGGAGGCCACGGGTGCCATCTCCCAGGGGCCTAGAATTCTTCCGCAGCCTGCAGGAGTACAGGGGAGGGGGAGGATGGTCTCACCGGGCACTTGTGGGGCCGCTTCCCAGTATGCACCAGGTGGTGCTTCTGCAGGTGGGCGAGCTGAGTGAAGCTCTTCTGGCACAGGGCACACTGGAACGGGCGCTCCCCGCTGTGCACACGCAGATGGACCTGAGCCAGGTGTGGGAGAAATGCTGCCAACTGCCCAGAGCCCTCCAGCAGAGCCGGGGATCCTCTTCAAATCTCTACCCACATCCCCATAGGGCCCCCTTTTGGCATCAAGGCCTCTCAATTCCCCTGCAACTGTATCACCTCCCTGAAGGCCAATCTACCATTCCCCAGGATCCCCTCTCTCTCTCTGCTGCCCTGCAAGAGGGGAGATGCCTGTGGTTAGCTGGCCAGGTGAGGGGTACCCCGTGTGTGTGTGTGTGTGTGTGTGTGTGTGTGTGTGTGTGTGTGTGTGTATCTTGTGCAGCGCTTCTTGAAGTATTGTCCCGCAGCATCAGCATCACCTGGGAGGGTGTTAGAAATGCAGATTCTCAGGCCCCACCCCAGACCAGCTGAATTAAAATCTCTGGGGCTGAGCCTAGGAATATGCATGTTTACTAGCTCTCCAGGTGGTTTGAGGCTCGTTAAAGTTTAAGAATTCATGCCCTAGAGGATGCAGAAGGGCTGTTCTCCAATAACCGTAACTTTTCCTCAACTTCAGCAGGTGCCAACTCGCGCCTAGCTTCCGGTCTTTGCTGATACACAGAGATGTGCCCATGGTTGCCCCCTGCTGGACGATGCCTATAATGATGCTTACAGCACGGCGCTGATGTGCAGGATCCCACATGAAAAAGGCTGGTTGTCAGGTCTGTGGTCTACACTCACTAAAATCTACCTGTTCCCCCACCTGAACTTCAAATAAGTAAACAAGAGGAGGCTTAACTGGGAATCAGAGAGGATGGTTGTTCAAGAAAGGGCTTTGCCCTAGATGTTGAGAGACTGAGATCAAGACCTGACTGCACCATGAAATCAAGGCAACCTTGGGCAAATCTTTTCTCAGTTTCCCTATTTTTAACTTAAATGAGACGATCTCATAGTCTTTTAGTGTGGAGAGGACTCCTCTCTACGGATGTGAAACTGAGGGGCCAAATGAACCAGCCAAGGTCATAGGCCCTAGAGGTTGCCCAGGAGTTCCTTCTGGCTGTAAGGTCCTTGATTCTAGAAGCAGGATGGGAGGGGGGTCATTGAAGGATGCCGAGGGGAGCCACGGAGCCCAGAGGCAGATACCTTGAGGTTGGAGAGCTGCCCAAAGTTCTTGCTGCACACGTTGCACTCGTACAGGATTTTGCCATTCTTTTTCTTCAGCGGATAAGGCAGTGCCGAAGAGCCCGCCTGGGAGCTCGGCGGGGCCGACTTTGCTGGAACCACCCGGCCAGCATGCTCCAGCCCTGTGGAGTCGGTCCTGGCAGCTGCAGAGCCTGGATTCTGGGCCTGGGAGGGTTGGGTTTGGCCAGAGGCTTGAGAGGCCCCTGCGTAGGGGTGCAGGGTCTCCCCCTGGGTGCTGGAGTGCCCGGCCTCATAGACATTCATCAGCAAGGTGGGCACAGCCATGGTGGTGTAGGAGGTGTTCTGGGGCAGCATGAAGAGAGGGGGACACTGCACAGAAGGTAGGCCCCCACAGGTGACCAGGTAAGGTGAGGGCAGGAGAAGTGGGTACACAGGATAGAACGGGCAGAGGCGGGATGGGAGTTCTTTGGAAATGGGGGTGGATGCGGGCCAGGAGCAGAAAGCCAAGGGGCTGGGGCTCTTTTTGTCTTGCCACGGGTTTGGGAAAGAGCTGTTGTGAGGAAAGAAGGATGGGCTGGGGGACCCCTCGCCAGCTCTTTCCCGCTGGCTTCCCATCTTGTCCCTGCTCAGAGGGTACTTGGCTGTGAGTTTCTCGCCATTGGAGGAGCCGGCAGGCCGCCTTGGTGGCTGGTGCCCTGAGCAGGAAAGGGAAGACGGTCAGGGCCGCCCAGACTTGGGTAATGTTCTGCTCTGCATCAACCTGCCTGGCTCAGAGCTGAGAGAGGGCTCTAGCCTGCGCGGCACCTCCCCTCTCTGGGCTTTCCTGGTCTGCAATTGCCCTTGCCAATAAAAGAGGCTAGCATTTGTGCAGCGCATAATAATTTCAGAGAGTGAAAGCGATTCAAGAAACCTATTAGACGTACAGGTGGAGAAGTCAAGTGGGCAGTTGGGTGAATTGGTTTGGAGATTAACAGAGCAGCCTGAGCTGGAGACATAAATCTGGGTACCATGGGCCCAAATGAGATCCCATAAAAGGTGGTCCTAGATCTGCTGTGTCCCAAATGGTAGCCACCAGACACATTTAAATTGATTAAAATAAGTACAGTAAAAACTTCAGTTCCTCACTTGCACTAGCCACACTTAAAAGGCTCAGTAGGTATGGTATCAGACAGCACAAGTACAGAGCATTTCCATTACTGCAGGAAGTTCTATCAAACTGCTACTCTAGATAAAGAGAACAGGAGAGAAGGGGGGAAAGAAGAGAGAGGAGAGGAGAAGAGAAGAGATGGGAACATGGGAGGAGAGGGGAGGGGAGGGGTGAGGCGGCGGCTCTGGACTGAGTTCCTGAGCAGGGGGAGAATTAGGAGGTACGTAGTGGAGAGCAAGCAAGGGAGACTGAGGTGCAACAGCCAGTGAGGTAGGAGTTAAACTGGGAGTGATAGAAAGTAAACTATTAAATATGTATAAAGATTAAAAAGTAGATTGTCTGCTTGGATCCTCATTTATTCACTCAACCAGCTTTACTGAGCTGCTTTACTCGGTGCTGGGGAAATAAAGGACACAGCAGCATGGTCCCTGCCCTCCAGGTCGAGTTGCATAAGGAAATGGGGTATCGTAAGCAATAAACGTAGAACATAGGTTAGTGAGATTGTACTTTTGTGGAAGAAGAAACTGGCCTTCATGATGTCATAGAGCCAGAAAAGGCAGAACCAGGACTCCACCCACGACTCCCTGTCTCCCAGTCAGGGCTCCTGTCTTATAAAATAGGCCCCTCTAGCTCAAACACTCTAGGCAGACAAAGCGCCGCTCTCAACCGCCGGGAATAGCTACGCCTACACCAGATCCCATACCCACGCCTGAGAGAACCACTGGCCACTTCCTCTGCTCACCTCTGCTCACGTGTCACCACCTGAGAGCCCCTCGCACCCCCAGGCAGAGCTCCAGCTCAGAATGTGGCAGTAACACGTGCTTGAGGCACTGTCCTCACGAGTGACACTGGGTCCGCAATGTCTCTCATCCCCAAACCTAACAGTGCTTCCCACCTCCAGCCTCCACCAAGGTGCAGCCCCGTGCCCTGGGCTTACTTGTGCTCGAGGCATCCTCTCTGAGACCCTGCGGGGCTGTGCCCGGGGGCGCCGACTTCAGGGTGCACAGGTATACGTCCGGGCCCTGAGGGCAGGCCAGCAGGGAAGATCTGACCAGTGCCAGTGACAAGGGGTACAGCCAGCTGGCACAGGACGGGCCATGGGCATCCACTGTGTCTGGAAGTGGCCTGGAGCCTGGCAAGACCTGGAAGGCAGGGGGAAGGGGCTTGGGGGCCAGGGACTGGGAGTCCCCTGGGGTAGTCCCTTGGGATGGTTCCACCCCTAGTTTGGTTTCCAAAGGGGGAGGAGAAGCTAAGACCAACCCCCAACCTACACCCGCCTCCACCATGTCTGTCACTCAAATGGCTTCCCCTTCTCTCATCCGCGTTCCCAAGGGACTCACACGTCCACCCCCAGGGTTACCCTCCCCCTGCCCCAGAACCCCTCACTCAGCCCTGCTCTTCCTCCTCCCCTTCCTTCCTGACCACCCTCAGACTAACTACCTGGATGGAGCCAAGGTGAACTTAGAGAAAATCCTCATCAAAGACTGTGTACCCCGCAGGAGGGCCCTGAGCTTCCTCCCTCTAAGGCCCAGGCCACGGTCACACAGCCAAGCTTCCTGCATGGCCCTGTCCCTTCTCATGCCTCACAGGAGAGTTGGGCCCCTGGGGCACGGGAGAGGGTCTCTGGCGCTTCCAAAGGCACATTCCCATGATGTGCCGGGGTGCGGGTGCTCAGGACCAGGGGAATCTAGGTCCCTTCAGATTTTCCCCCTACTTCTTCCTAACATCCCCTCCTTCCAGAAGCAGCCTGGCCTCAAAATTGGGGATGGGACCGCATCTTACCTGATCGCCTTGGCAGAGCTGGGAGTCCGAGTGGGGGGATGGGGAGTCTCCTGTGCTCCCCAGGGGCTTAGTCTTGTGGCAACAACCCAACTCTGGAGCGGGTTCCCCCTTCATTCCCCCACTACCTGCTGGGAAGACAGGTCAGTCACAGGTGAGCAGTGAAGGTCCTCCAAATAAGAGCCTGTCTTCGAGGACTGGCTCTCCCAGGAAACCACTGTGTGACATTGAGTCAGTCACTGCCCCTCCTGGCCTCAGTTTCCCCATCTGCAAACTGGGAGGGTTGGACTGGCTGATGTGAAAGGACTGTCTCAGCGATGACATGAAAGCCAATGATGCTTTCCTGGTAGGGGCAAGAAGAGGATTGAATGGAGACTGGCCAATCAGAGGCAAAGAGCACAGCTGGCCTGAATCCCATCCCTGGGGAAGAGAGGAGAGAGGAAGGTCCTCATGGAGGTACTTCCAGGTAAGCTCAGAGATCTGAGGAAACATTCCAGACCTCCTCAGGGCCACAGGGAATTGAGAAGCTATTCCAAGACTCTACCAAACACAGGCTCCTCACTGAGGGGCGCCCCTGTCCCCCAGCTCATCCACACAACTTTTCTGGGCCTCTGAGGAAGCCCCAATGTCCTGCCACTCGGCTAGCGCCTCACTTCTCTGCTGCTTTCACTGAGGCCCGCGCAGCCCAGGGACCATGCAGCTCGGCAAATGTCCCGAGGCCCTTCCCTTCCCCCCCCCGTAACCCTCCTTAACCCCCAGTGCCCCTCGGAGCCTGGCACCCTCACGCGGGTGTCTCATTCCTCCAAAACCCGGTCTCCTCTCCCTCTTCCCTGACTCCTCCCAACCTGCCCCGGGTCTCAGAACACCCTAGAAGGAGAGGCGGCCTGGGTGAGGCTCTTCACCTGGCTCGGCAGAAGTCCCCTCTGGCTGGGGAAGGAAGCAGGTGGGCAGGTGGGCCGCCAGCCTCTGTCTGTGTTTACGGCCCCCGTGGGTGTGAGAGGTGACAGGAAGGCGCTACATTTGAAGTTGCCACAAATAGGAAGGGGGGGCAGGCAGGCAGGCGGGGGCCCTATGGGACCTGACAAGGGCAAGCCGCCCACCTGCCTTTACCTACCTGAGACAACACTGCCAGAGCTTGGGGCCACAGTAAACGGGAGCTACTGGGATTTCAGTGTGCGGGCTGGGATGGAGTGGGGTGTGGTTAACTCTGGTTCTCAGAGAACTCAGATGGCTGAGCAGGAGGGGGACAGAGCAGGGCTCAGAGGCTGGAGCTGGGGTCCTTCCAGGGATGCAGGCCCAACGGGGACAGAGACGGGCAATGATGTTGAGAGGGAAGACAGTGACGGTGGTGGCAGGGACAGAAACAGGCAGAGACAAGAGCAGGCAACGTAGGGTGAGGCAGGGGAGAAAGCAGGAATCCGATCTCACACAGCAGGCGCCTAGGAGGCAACGAGTACATCTTCCTCCTCTTTGTCCCATCTCTGATTTCTCGGTTCTGGGGAATCCTTTCTCTAATTTAGATAGAATGCTGAGGGCCCCGCCCCCACCGGCAAGAGATAATTCAAAGACACAGCAAAATGCTTGTAAGGCATGACTAGATATCAAAAGGGAGACCCTTTAGGCCAGAAACAGCTTTAGGCTGAGCAATTTCATCGTTCCTGTGAGCAGAAGGTGCATCACCCCCTGGCCTCACACAAATTCTGCCCGGTTGGTGTGTCCGCAGTGTCTGGCCCAGTGTGGCAGCCCCATCCAGGCCTCAAACTCCACCTGGCCATGCCACCCAGGTGGCATGGAATGCACAGGGACATCTCGAACTCTCCATTGTAGGCAAGGGACATATTACTCTGCCAGCTCAGCCCCTGGTCAGTACTCACTTCCACTCTGGCCCCCGTTGCTTCCTGTCATAATCACTTGCCCATAAAACTGACCCCTACGTGTCTGTGTGTATCTCAAGGTCAGGGACCACTCTTTACTCATTCTTGTTTCCCATGTAGATATTTGCCAGGTTTTTTGGATGCCCAGCATCTGGAACTTTCTCCCACATGAGTCTGGAGGGAGGCAGAAGGCACATTCCACTATAAAAGCCAAAATGGCCGCATGCTGAATTCCTACCTCCTTGCTCCAGCGCGTGGTGCGGGCACATGGCATGGACCAGACCGACCAGATGTGCCCATCCAGACTGTGATCAGAAGCCAGTGGCCCTGGGGCTTCCCTGCTGGTGCAGTGGTTAAGAATCCGCCTGCCAATGCAGGGGACATGAGTTCGAGCCCTGGTCAGAGAAGATCCCACATGCCGTGGAGCAACTAAGCCCGAGCACCACAACTACTGAGCCTACGCTCTAGAGCCTGCAAGCCATGACTACTGAGCCTGTGTGCCACAACTACTGAAGCCCGCCCGCCTAGAGCCCGTGCTCTGCAACAAGAGAAGCCACTGCAATGGGAAGCCCGCGCACCGCAACGAAGAGTAGCCCCCACTCGCCGCAACTAGAGAAAGCCCGCGCACAGCAACAAAGACCCAGTGCAGCCAAAAATAAACTAAATAAATAAAAAAATTTGTTTTAATTAAAGAAAAAGGAAAAGAAGCCAGTGGCCTTGAGGTGGCAGGTCGGTGGAGCCCACTCTGTACGTAGATGGTGATGCCCCAGCCTCCAGGACAGCAGAGGGAAGAAAGGGGTTCAGAGGGTGTCACCAGTCCTCTCAGGGCTGGTACTGGGGGTGTGGTCCTGGCCCTGCTTTCCAAGCCTGGCTCTGCAGCCTTCCCAAACCTTCTCTGAGCTTCCCCAGCATCTTTTTTTCTTTTGCGGTACGCGGGCCTCTCACTGCTGTGGCCTCTCCCGTTGTGGAGCACAGGCTCCGCATGCGCAGGCTCAGCGGCCATGGCTCATGGGCCCAGCCGCTCCGCGGCATGTGGGATCTTCCCATACCGGGGCACGAACCCGTGTCCCCTGCATCGACAGGCGGACTCTCAACCACTGCACCACCAGGGAAGCCCCCTCAGCATCTTTTAAGTGAATTCTTCCTTTCACTCTCTCTTCTTCTTTTTTTTTTCCTTTGCCCACACTGCGTGGTTTGTGTTCCTTGACCAGGGATTGAACCTGGGCTCTCAGCAGTGAGAGCACAGAATCCTAACTAGTGGACCAACAGGGAATTCCCTCCTTCTCTCCTTAAATCCTCCTGAAATGGTTTCTGTAGGTTACAACCAAGAATCCTGCACTATACATGTCCAGAATAGATGAAGCACCAGGCTCAGGTTGGAATACTCTGAGGGTTAGAGTAGATAGCTACCTTTACGGTTACTATGTGCCTGGCACTGTGCTAGGGGCTTCGTAAACATTATCTTATTTAATCTTCACAATAAGCCTGTGCAGTTGGTTTTATTATCCCCATGATGACAGAACAGAAGCTCAGAGAGAGTAAGCAACTCACTCAGAGTCACACAGCAAATAGCCAAGAGCTCTCTAGTGCCAACCCTCAGATTCCACTGTCTCTTGGCAATGTCAGCCCACCCCCAGTGCCACCCCCACTGCTTCATTTGTGCCCCCCATACTCTCTTCCGAAGTGCCATTCCCAAGGCCCAGACCACCCTCCCCATCCTCTCCCCCAACCAACCCTGCACATACCAGTTGCCCTCTCAGCATCCTTCAGATTAGCGGGCAGCCCTTCCCATGGCACTCCTTGCCATCTTGGTCAACCAGAACTCCACTCCCCAAAGCTGGAGCCCTCCCAGCCTCCCAGGACACAGCCTGCCTCCCCTCCAGCCTTGCCTGGAATCTAAGGGTGCAAGAGCCTCACTGGGTACCTGTGGAAGGCCCCACCCACATCTCGAAGGCGGATTCACACACACCTTTGGCTTCCATCTGCCAACTCCGCCCCCTCCTGGCATCACACTCTGCTTCCAGCTCACAGAAAAGTGTACAACCTCTTGGTTAGGAACAAAAAGGAAAATGGCCTTGGAGATTTCCAAATCTCCAATCCCTGAAAGACCTGGTTAGGAGTGTCCCAGGAGGAGGGCTGGGGACACAATCCCTCAAGTTCCCACTGGAAACAGCCTCTACCTGCCAATCCCTTCCTTGCTCCTTTCTCTTGGGCCTTGCCAGGTCCTCTGTCTTGTCAGCCTCCAGGTCCACTGTGATGTCACCAGCTTAACTGTGATGTCACCATGTCCCACATCCCCCTGAGGGGTAGCACAAGGGGTAGGACCATGGTCTCCTGGGAAACCTGGACCAATGCCTGGACCCAGATGAGAGACCCAGGCCAAGGCAAGTCCTTGGAGACCAGAGGGGGCTTGAGAAATGATTGTGGAGGGGAAGCAGGGTTGAGGAGCCTTCAGTGCTGAGCGGAAAACACAAGGGAGGCCTCAGAAAAGAATCAGCGTCTGGAGCAGAAAGGCGGGAGGGGTGGACAGGGGTCCTCAGGCTCCTGGCTCACTGTGCAGTTGCTTTCTTCATCTTTCTGTTAATTACAAAATAATACAGATGAGTGGTCAACGATTCAAGCAACATAGAATATAAAGACAAAAAATGGAAGCTCCCCTCCTTCATGGTTTCCCAGTGGTGAGTGTGAATTGTTTGGTGTTCATCCTTCCAGACATTTATCCATGAACGTACAAACAAGTAAATGGACTTTAAAATTTTGTTTTTATACACAAATGAATTATGTGATAGTACTGTTCTGAAGCTCTTTCTATCAACAACCTACTGTGGCCATCATTTCATGCCAGAATGTACACATCATTTGCCTCCTGTTTTTTTCCTGACCGTATAGTGTTCCATTGCAGAGGACCACCTATATGTCCTCTGATGGACATAATATGTAGCATTTCTCTGTTGGTGCACTCCAATTTTTCCCTGTTCCACACAAGGCTGGAAAGGATCTCCATGCAGAGGTAATATGCAGAGTGTTTAAGAATATTAGCTCTCAGACACAGAAAAACAAATATTATATGTTATCACTTATATGTGGAATCTAAAAATAATACAAACGAACTTATTTACAAAACAGAAACAGACTCACAGACATAGAAAACAAACTTACGGTTAGGAAACGTGAAAGAGGAGGGGGAGGGATAAATTAGGAGCATAGGATTAAAAGATACACACCACTATATATAAAATAGATAAACAAGGATTTACCATATAGCACAGGGAACTGTATTCAATATCTTGTAATAACCTATAATGGAAAAGAATTGGAATAAATATATATATATATATATATTTTTTTTTTTAAAGAATGTTAACTCTGCTGGATTTAATCCCAGCTCTGTGACGTTAGGGCAAGTCACTTAACCTCTGTCCCTCTTTCCTCATCTGTCAAATGGGGATAATAATAGCACTTGCCTCACAGCGTTCTTTCAATGATTCCTCAAGATAATTTATGTAAAGCCCTGAGGACAGTGCCGGGCCCAATGCAAGCACTTGACAAATGTGGGTTACTGTTAATATTGTATATCAATCTTTGCCTAGTTAGGCAAGTATCTGCAAGTCAGCTTCCTAAAAGCTGATGATGAATGTTCCTGGCTCACTTCGGAAGACCAG